TACAAACTTGCCTGTCCGGTTTTCAACAATAAACTGAAATTACACGTGTTGTGATTGGTTATCGTAACGTGAACTGTCCAATCATAAGTAGTTTAACATAATTTTCATAATACCTTAAACACCTCAAACTGACGACAAGAGAACATGTCTGATATTATGAAATATTTACTATTAGGGGTAAAAATATCCATCAGACCACAGGACAGGCTACTTTTAAAATTTGACCGTCCGAGATGAAAATAAACCGTTCCGGACTGTCGGGCAGGCGGGAATTTTAAACACTGCTACTGATATTTTATATGTTTAATGAGATATATAATTTAACAGTGGACATCTGACATCTGACATCCGAGGACCATACATTTTGTTGATATCGCGTGAATTGGCCTCTATTCTCAAGACAATTTTGGATTCGACGAGGTATACTCCTCACAAAAGGTCTGTCATCAACGATATTTGTCTGTCGATATCGTGATTGTAATCTTATAGTAACAGACTGTGAAACATTCAGAATGCACTGTCTTGTTTCAACTTTCAACATTCAAGGTGTACGTAGTCACACACCCTTTCACACACCCTTTCACCCTGTTTTTTGCCACTGAAATGAACAGCCACACACAGGCACGTTTCACTGTAAATTTAAATTTTTTAACACGTTCATGTGCAGATCCTGAAAAAATAGTTCAAAAATATTTTTATTCTTGAAAATGAATTGGGATTGGTGAACAAGCATTACCATACTGCTTATGTTAACACCGCTCCCAAACAGCATATAATACAAAATGAAATGAAGGATATGACGTCATTGATATTGACTATGATATAAATAATATTTGTATACATATTACATCAAATACCAATGCAACTATTCACTAAGTATTCATGAAAAACATGACCTGATTGCGCGAAATTAAAAACATGTGACTGGAATAATCATTTTCTATATATACTAGCCACATAAAGAAACTGTGCATTGTCAAAATATTATCCCAGTTGATAAGTACGATAACAATGTCAAAGGTACATATAAACTTTAATGGAGGGATCATGAGACCAGAACAAGTCCGGAGAATTTCAACTGAAAAGTCAATCACAATGACGTCACGAGTCCACAAGCGGGACAGGGGTCAAACGACCATGTCACAAGCTCAATAACGGGTATGTCCACCATCGGCATTGGGAACAGCAGTGCATCGACGACGCATAGAGCCTATCAAACGTTCAAGGAAGGCTTGTGGGAAGTCACGCCAGATTCTCTCAAATTCTGTTGCAACGTCAAGGACGTTATCTGGCGGATGAGGAAGACGGCGTAGACGTCGATCCACGTCGTCCCAAACATGCTCTATCGGGGAGAGATCCGGTGAATTTGCAGGCCAAGGCAGTAAGTTAATGTTGTGGTGTTGCAAGAAATCCATAGCAACCCTTGCCGTATGAGGGCGGGCATTGTCCTGTTGGAATGTTAACCCAGGGCTATGACGTTGCAGAAAAGGAATTGCAACAGGTTGAAGAATCTGATCCCTGTAGCCCACACCAGTTAAGTTGCCCTGAACAATCAACAAAGAAGTTCTTTGGCGTGCTGTTAATCCACCCCAAATCATCACGGAACCACCACCAAAGCGATTCCTCTCCAAGACACAGGCCTGTGCATAACGTTCTCCGACGCGACTATGGGCACGTTGACGTCCATCACTATGGGAAATGTTAAACCTGGACTCATCTGTAAAAACAACATTTCTCCACCAAAACAAGGGTCTGAGGACATGATTTCGGCACCACATTCGGCGAGCTTGTCGATGACGTTGTGTCAGGATAGGCCGTATGGCGGGACGTCGTGGTCTGATCCCGTGATGACGTAAACGTTGTCGAACTGTGTTGGGGTGGATACGGCAAAGTCCTGGGATGGTTCGGGCAGTCATCACTGCAGTCTGAAACCTGTGGCGAAGATGGGTCACCCTTATCCATATGTCCTGTCTTGGCGTTGTTACACGTAGACGTCCAGAACGTGGCCGATCGATGACGTCATTTGTGTTCTGGTAGCGTCTCACCAGTGCAGAACTGGTGTTCCGGTGGCAGTGGAAATGTGCAGCCACTTGTCGTTGAGACATTCCCCCACGGACCATCCCAATGGCCTCATGACGTTGTGCAGACGTGAGCCTTGGCATGCTATGCGTTCCAATAGCCGTTGAATTTTTTGAAGGATCGCAAGGGCAGGGGTTGAGCTTTCCAAAGTGATAGTATTGTGTGGCATTCATTTGCTCTGTTTCTCTTTCCCGGAATGCACGTGCAACAACGCGTATTGCACGTCTCAAGGACGAACCCACTGACGTCAGGGAACGTGGCACGTGCATGCATGTTGGATACATATCACTAATCTCTGAGTTTAAATCCTTATGTGTCTACACAGGTTTGATAAATTTGGATTTTAAATTTGTGTATGCACAATTTCTTTATGTGCCTAGTATATATATATACAAACAGCTCTCACTCAGAAATAATATCACCACAAAGTGGAATATCCTATATTTTTTAGAAACAGTATATGTAGTCCTATAGCATCTTGTTAGGCCTGTATGCAAAATTATGCCCCACATGAGTTTATTTCGCTGTGTTGTTCAGTAACTATATGTATTATGTATATTTACTATATAGTCATATATGATGAGGCAGTCAGTATGACACTTGTTATTTAAACATATTTATTTCCAAAGAAAGGAACCGGATTGGTGAACAAGCATAAGCTTATATGAATGATACAATGGAAAGAAGAGTAAACATGTCGTGAAGAATGTACAATGTGAATGATATATAAATGTTGCAAAAACAAGAAATAACTCCAATCATTGTTAAACAGTATAAGTCATATAAACAAATTATTTTGGATCAAATCTGCCTGTTAAATTTATAAACGAGTGCACTGAAATTAAAAGTTCTTTGTTTATTTTGTTGACTATTTTAGGTCAAAAATAATCCTTTAGTATAAAAATACATAATTTGACGTATATCTTTGTAAAGAGTACATGAAAAGAAATAATGAGCAGAGTGCTCATAGTTGTGGCCACAAGAACAAGATGATGTTGGAGATATAAATCTTCCATAGTTGTGTGCATTAAGGTCACTACATTCAAGTCGGAGACGAGAATGTATGATTTGACAAAATCTGCTACCGAAATTTATGTCAGAATGACTATAGATATTAGAATCGTTTAAAAGTACATTTTTGAATCTCGATAGGCACGGTGATTCTCTATGTTCAGCTGGTAATGAATTCCATAATATAACAGTATCTGGAAGAAAGGACCTCGCATAATTTACAGATTTACAGTTTATAGTCTTAAGATGTGAATCACCGGGCAGATTATAACCATCGACATCTGATACTCTAGGAGGAACAAGGTTACTAAGGTAACTTGGCGTAGTGTTATTAACCATTTTGTAAAACAGTCAACGGGTGACAATTATTGTTTTTGTATATTTTATGATGGCTGGTGCCATCAGCACCACACACGGTTCTGAGAGCATCAAAATTGAGCTTTTCAAGTATATCTGCTTTTTGTTTAGTACAATTATCCCATATATGACTGCAATAATCCAAAACTGGTAATATGAACTGTTTGTACATGGTTTCTAATGTTTTTCGGTTTAAACGATACTTGAGACTTCTTTGACAATTCACCATTGGTGCAACTGTTTGAGCACAGTCGTTAATGTGTTCATTCCATGAGCAATCATGCTCAAATATAAGACCTAAATGTTTATGGCTTTGTCGGTTGAAGTATAATCATAGATTTTTCTTTTATAAGTAACTGTTTTAGTTATTTTTTCCTTGAAAGTAACACACACAGGACAGTGATCACTACATATAGGATCAAGTAAACCGGATTCTAGTACAGCAGCAACATGTGAAACAAACATAAGATCTTCATTAAAATCACCAGTCACAATTGTAATCAGGTCAAGATCAACAGCGTTACCAACAGATTCTTCTATTAAATTCCAATAGGCGTCGCTTTTATCTGCCCTATAAAATGTCCCAATGAGATCATTTCGTTTCTTGCATCGTATTTTAACCCATATTGCTTCAAGCGCAGGCAAGTCTAAATATCGCCAGGTGTTAGGATGCACATAGGACAGAAGTATTTTGTAAGATATCATCTTGGGCCCATAAGAGACACCTATATTTGGATTCTATACACAAAACAAAAACAAAACAAAAAAACCCCCCAAAATAACAACCCCAAAACACCCGAAATAGACGCTACAGATAAGATAGTGGTGGCCTTATGTGATTTACGGTGTGATAAATTCCATGGAATGTGAATGTAGTAAATACGCGTGGCCGTCGATCACGATAGTCGCCCCGGGTGTTGGGCACTCAACAGCCGCTAGGTCGCCAGAACGCCATGTGAGGGAACTCTGAACTGCAAGTAGTTACACTCCGAGTGCAGAGCTCTATAACTGCACAACTAGTTCAACTGCAAACATCATTTCGTGACAGGTGCGTTTACAAACATCATTCTGTGACAGGTGCGTTTACAAACATCATTCTGTGACGGGTGCGTTTACAAACATCATTCTGTGACCGGTGCGTTTACAAACATCATTCTGTGACGGGTGCGTTTACAAACATCATTCTGTGGCGGGTGCGTTTATAAACATCATTCTGTGACAGGTGCGGTTACAAACATCATTCTGTGACAGGTGCGTTTACAAACATCATTATGTGACGGGTGCGTTTACAAACATCATTCTGTGACAGGTGCGTATACAAACCTCATTTTGTGACAGGTGCGTATACAAACATCATTCTGTGACAGGTGTGTGTACAAACATCATTCTGTGACGGGTGCGTTTACAAACCTCATTTTCTGACAGGTGTGTATACAAACATCATTCTGTGACCGGTGCGTTTACAAACATCATTCTGTGACGGGTGCGTTTATAAACATCATTCTGTGACCGGTGCGTTTACAAACATCATTCTGTGACAGGTGCGTTTATAAACATCATCCTG